GCTGACCAAACCCTGCAGAGTTCTAAGAAAGCACTAACCTTCCCACTTATACTTATACGTACACTAATACTCAATTTGTCTCTAACAAGTAATAACAGGATCAAGCTGGCATTAATGTCCAACCCAACTTTTCCAACTATCAACGCTACTTTTTCACTACTGGTGATTTGCAGTTATTTGATGCCCCCTACTGCTGTTTAAACCTGGCAACATTTCAATGATTCGACTTCTATTATAAGTATTTTTTAACACGTATATCATCACTTCACAGAGACCATAGTAATCTTCTACTGACTAAAGTAGCCATGAAATGTTGCTAAAACGTACTTCTTTGCTTGCCTGCATTCATTTTGAAATGATTATGCATTGATATAATTTTTAGCTAAGGAATGTATTGCTTCTACAAGTTGTTTTTACAATATGCAATTACTGAAACTATTAATGAATGTATAATTGTGGCTGGGGATTATTGTGCATCCTTGTACTTACAATTAGACACACTTCACAGATTTATAATTAAAAATGTTTATTTATAAATGTGAACCAATTATATTATTTATTGTACAAGGATAACCTCCTGATGATTTGCTATGTAAATATGGCCCCATTATGCAGGTAAAACTAGTGTATTCATTGTTTGTTATGTTCTGTAAATAAAGAATAAAACATGTATTATTTATATTGAGTGAGCAGAGTAGTAAGTGATCAGGTTTCTCGATACAACTATTTAAAAAAGATAGCAAAAATATACTCCTTTGACTATGCAAAATCAGAATGTGAAATACAAATAAAAATAATGTACATTTCTATTTTTTTTATATTTTGGTAGCTGCGGGGCTTCTGAGGCTAATATTCTGAAAGACACCTTTAACCACTTGCTGGCCGGAGCACACAATAAAATCACACATGATACAAATCTGAATTTTTGGATAGAAAATGGCTTTAGACCCCCAAACAATTATATTTTCTGAAAGCAGAGGCCCTGTATATTAACCACTTGCATCCGCCCGTTGCAAAAAAACGGACGGATGGCAGACTTACATGGATGGGTTGCTGTAATTAGACAGCATTTTTTTTCTGCTTGCACGCCAGAAAAAACCCGCCCGTTCTTTACAGCGTTACCGGCTGTTTGACATACAACCGATCGGCGGCTATATAGCCACCGATCCATTGTATTTTGCTTGCCCCCCTCCGCTCCCTCGAGTGCCGCCACCGCCTGGAGTGCCGCCCCGTCCTGACCCCTCACCTTCAATCCCGGGAACCGCTCTCGGGACCAGTTCGGGAGGGCGCCAGGAGGTAAGATGGGAGGGAGATCAGCATCTTCCTACCTGCTGACCTCCCTCTGTAGTGTGAATGCGGAAGTAATGTGTAATACATCACTTCCGCATTCACCTGTCAGTCATCTGGCTGGGAGAAAAAGCTTATGAAGCAGATCTGTGCTTCATCAGCTTCTTTTGGGGTCCCCATGTGACATTAGGGGTCTTAGAGACCCCTAATGTCTCCATAAAGAGGACCTATCAGTATGCCTTTGCTATTATGTAGGGGGATTGTTATCCCCCTATGTGATAGCAATAACAATAAGTATAAAAAAGTAAAAAATTAATAAAAATCACATATAAAAAAAGTCCCCCACCCCCACGTTTACGCACATATAAACGTAGATACACATTCAATGCGCCAGTGCGCGAAAATGACAATTGCGCTACACATGTTACACTAAACTGATGAGGAAAAAGCTTTTAAAGCGTCACCTATGGCCAATTTTGGGTATCGTAGTTTATTTAGGTTTTTTTATTTATGTTTGGTGTCTTTTTACCCAACGTGACCCCGTCTCTTATATTTTACCAAAAATATATGGTTTTAATAAATGTAATAAATGTTTTATAACTTAATATAGGGGAAACAGTTTTTTTTTTATTTTCGAAAATGTTTCCTTAATATAGTAAAAAATAAAAATTGCAGTGGTGATTAAATACCACCAAAAGAAAGCTCTATCTTTCCCTAAAGAATGGTATAAAGTTCATTTCAGTACAGAGTTGCATGATGAAATAAATGTCAGTCAAAGTACCGCAGCGCTGAATACTGAAAAATGGCCTAGACAGGAAGGAGGTTTAACACCGCGGACTTCAAGTGGTTAAAAAAATGCAATGTCGCCCAGTATTTGCAAAAATGTTTATCAAACCAGTATTCTTTGAATAAAATACACTAAAACTAATTTAGTGCACAGAAACAGAATATAATACCCACATTTTTGGTAAAATATAAAAGACAATGTCAAGCCGAGTAAAAAAAAAAGATACCAAACAATTACGTTTTTGCACGTAGGCACACCCGACATGTGTTTGTGTAATATGTGCGTGCACATGGGGGGCGGGGACTTTAAACATTTTTTTTTTGTATTTTTTTTTTTTGCACTCAACATTTTTGCGATCACATAGGGGGCTAACAAGCCCCCTATGCAATAGCAAATATAATGTGACAGGTCCTCTTATAGAGATCTCAGGGGTCTTTCAGACCCCTTATGTCCCTGAGGACCCCAAAGAAGCTGAAGAAACAGAGATCTGCTTCCCTAGCTTCTTCTCCTGGCTCTAAGAGCCAGAGAATGTGTACAGTAGCACCGGAAGTGATGTAATACTGTTATTTTCTTTATTTTCACCTGATGATCTACCCAGTAGCCCACTTCCTGTCTTAGCATGGCTCCACTATGAAAAGCAAGGCTGCTGTAAACAAAGCTAGCAGGGTCTTGTCCTGTATTAAAAAGGGGATGTATTGCAGGGACAAGTCTATAATTTTGCCACTTTATAGATCATTGGTTCGACCTCATCTGGAGTACGCGGTCCAGTTCTGGTCACCAGTACTAAGAAAAGATGTCCTTGAGTTGGAAAAAGTCCAGCGGAGGGCAACCAAACTAATTAGGGGTATGGAGGACCAGAGCTACGAGACAAGGCTACTAAATTTAAACATGTTCACATTGGAGGTGAGGAGATTAAGGGGGATATGATCTCCATGTACAAGATGTTCAATGGTGGTAGCAACATTAGCGATAAACTGTTTAAAATTAACTCCATTACAAAAACTAGAGGCCACCACCTAAAATTGGTGGAAAAAAAATTCCAGCACAAGGGGCGAAGGGGGTTCTTCACAGTAAGATCAGTTAGGGTCTGGAACTCACTGCCACAGGCGGTGATTTCAGCAAATAATGTGGAATTGTTCAAGAAACTTTTGGACGATTTCTTAAGGGACCGTAATATACAGGGGTACAGGTACTCCTAGAATGAGATCCTAATAGGTTGGACTTGATGGACTAATGTCTTTATTCAACCTCAAATACTATGTAATCGAACCATCCTTGGACTGCAGTAGATATGTGCAGCAGCAAAAAATTTGTTTCGTTTCGGATTTTGCTTTATTTTGTTTTTCAGAATTCGGGTCTGAAAGTCAATTCGTTTCGGAATTCAGATTCGGACTAAATTTGTTAGCGGTAATCCATACGGAATTTTGTTTCGTTCGTTGCCGCAAAGTGACATTTAAGAGGAAAAAACGTTTTTTTGTTCTCAAATGCCACTTTGCTGCAACAAAATTTCGTCCAAAATAAACCGAATCGGAAATTCGGAATCGGAAATGCGGAATCGGAAATTCGGATTCGTTTGCATTAGTTAAATCTGTAATTCGGATACATCCGCATCTCCGAATTTCCGAAATTTCGTCCGAATTTCGATTAGGAACTAAATGAATCGCACATGTCTAGACTGCAGCATTAACAACCTGGGGAGAGGGTAGTGTTAGATGAACTAACAGATTTAGATTGACTTGAGTACCAAATTAAATCTGAATTCCAGCTAACACTTTTGAAGCGGCTACAGGAACAGTTTTTCTATTCTTTTTCTTTGGGGATAACAATTTTACATAAATGCATAAAAGCTGATCATTATAAGCACACCTGTCAGAGTTAAATGGTCTGTTTCAACCCTCTAGCTGCCACTTTTTCTGGACAGCTTATTCTGGTAAAGGCTAAGTTCACCTTTTGCACCCTTTACATGAAACTGCAGAAGCCTGAGCTTTGCAGCCGTGATCCAGTGATCACAGCTGCAATGCTTTCCAAGCTTGAATGCAAAATTTAAAAAAATGACTTCCAGATATTTAGTGTAAGTTGCTTATTTACAGTTGCACAAAAAGGCACAATTTACAAATATGTGTTGTTTATTAACTCAATAGTTTTATTGTTTAGATTTAGTAAGCTTTTTAAAAAGTTATGTTGTATTTCTGTGAGTTATTAATGACTTTAGTATATTTGTATAGAAAATATTATGTGCAACTGTGGGATGTACAAAATGACCAGCACTATCTTTTTATTCTACCAGTCTTGTGCTATATGGAGTTGGGAGTATTTTACAAACTTTCAAAGCTTTTAGTAAAAAAATAGAGAAACATGATAATCAAGTATAGACTATGACAAAAAAAAAGTTTGGCCACCTGAGGTGAAGAGTAGAGAGCAGGTCTAGCAGCTGAAGTAACCCAATCACATGGCAATCACATTGAAATGTTTGAGGCAGTATTAAATTAGATTGAAGGTCGTAAGAATAATTTGGCAATTTTTGGATCAGGAGGGTATGTATATGTAAATGCTTAGGTTTGCATACAGCTGCGACATCTGTCAGCCTGTCATTGATTTGTACAGGCTGCAGCCCCTGGCTGTATGCATCACTTGTGGCTCATGAGTGCCTCCTGGGCACATAAACACATGCATTCTTTATGCTGTTGGCCTTCTGCACTCGTTTAAATGATGCCTGAAAAACACATTAAGACAGCTGTTACAATGAAAAATGATTTCTGTGATTGGTGGCTATGGGTTACTGCATCTCTATTTAAAAACTGTATTGTGTTAATAATTATACAAGGCATTTAATCAATTGCAAAAAATAACAAGAAAGTCCCTTTATTAAAAGAGTCAAATGTAGAAAATCATACTAACCTTTTGATGCAGGCAGGCAGTCTTTAGATGATCCTCGGTCACAGCATTTGGCAGGTTTTTTACAACTAAAGTCACTAACACATTTTGGTTTTTCTAATTTACCTTCTTCAACTGGCAGATCATTATTTGGACAGAAGCCTTTTCGTACTAAAGGAAAACATATTAAAGTTGTCAATACTTTACAGGAATTATCCAAAAATGCTTCTTGCATTGAATGTATCTCTGTAATATCTGATCAATTAAATAATGTGGTCTATTTTCTAAAAAGGCCCATAATTGTCCAGTGAAACTGCACATAGATTTGTTCTGTGAGAATTAACCAGCTGTTGTGAGAATGAAGCAAAATTAAAAGGCTATTTTCTCTTCTGGTTGAATGTTCTACAAATATTATGGACAGTAGTAAATCAGAAACATACCACATTATGGCCACTGAATGGACCTGAGCATCATAAGAAATAAATACATCTTAATAACAAGATATACAGTACAATGTAACTAATGCTTCTAATGGGATCCCCACAGTATGAATTGCTAAATTTTTCTGCTAATTTCTTCCAGCATTCTCTAGAATTGGTACATTGCACTCATGTTACTAAGATGTTAGTGTATGCAATCATGCCATCATCAAGTCCTGGTTATACAGCGGAGGACTGGACATCTTTGGGCTAGCTGGCTAACATAACAACCGACAATTTCCTGGTAGGAACAGTTTTCTTTATGCTATAGAAAGTGCCCTGCACAAAACGCCAGAGTTACTGGTGGCCATGGGGAAAGGATGGTGTTGGACTTGGTTTATTGTGATACACATATTCACATATTTGTAATCTAAAGATGAAGGATTGTAAAGCATAGATTGTAAATCATGAAGAACTTGAACTAAAGAAGTTCATCCTCTTTTTGAAAATCCTCTTGTGCCTTGTAAAAATGATATGGACTCACCTAAATATTATGCTAAATAAAATAATCACACAATCCTTATTATTCAGCTTCCTTTAACAAACGTGTTAATTGTACAGTTTTGCAATCTTCTAGCATTGACTTAATTGACTTAACAATTCAGAATCAATGCTGGATGACTTCCCTGTGACTATGATCACAGGTCTGAACAGGTATAGTATATAGTACTCAGCAGCTGTCATTGGCTGCGGGTCTTGCTCTGACTGAGGTCTTATTGGAGGATTACCTCTACTTAGGGATAGGGCTATTAGCCTGAGATTTATTATTTGTATTGGCCAAGGAGGTAACTGCCCCCCTGACTCCAGCCCAGTGCTCCCCTGTGGCTATACAATTGTAGCACTATCCTTTGTAGCCTACAAATGGACAAACTGGCTCCACTCCAGTACATTGTAAACTCTGCTGACTGACTCACTTTAATGCTTTTCTTCTCTGCAACTTCCTTCTCTCTGTTTCTGTATTTTACTTCCAGAATGCTTTTCAGCCTTCTTCTGCCTTCAAGTACACCCTTAAAATTCCCCTTTTAAGGCAAACCTATTTTGCTAAAATACCCTGTATAATAACTGTTCCAGCACTATTTCCTCATCCACAAGCTGACGACTCACGCTCTGCTACCTTATATAAAGCTTTCTCTATCCTTTAACGCTTGTTTCAGGTATCTAGTACATGTATTTCCTGTACAACTGTATGAACTTTTCATTAGAACCATTTCATGTACTATGCATTTGTATCCATTTTGCATCACTTTTTGCTTTCGTAAAAAACATGAGATGACAGTGATTTATATTGT